CCTTAACATCACACAGAATAACCCGATTTGTACTCACCAATTATGTCTTACCACAATGCGTATATTTGTGTGTAAGGCCTAGTTACTCCCCAAGCCCTAAATACTGATAGTCCTCATAAACGTTCCTCATTTATTTTGAACAACATTAATTTTTGGCATTCCTACCACCTATACCTTTTTATTGACCCCTTTCGTTGCAAAAGGTATCGCTAAATTCCAAGTGACACGACTTTAGAAGAAAAAATAATATATATAATAGTTGACCTAAGAATATAACTACTCTTTTGATTTTTGATTTTTTTTCTTTATTTATTTATTATTCTTTTATGCTTTTTGAATCTTTTCTTATAACTCTAACTTTGAAAAAGTACACAAGAAAATAATTCTTAACTTCACTTCTATTTGTACTTTAGTTTGTGACTTTCTAAGAAATTCAGTGGTGTGCTCGAAATCTCTTAGGTCACTAATGGAGTCCATGACATTCTATGAAAACCCATGTAGTGGACTTCTTCCTGTTCTGATCCGCGTTAATGTACTGCAGGTGGACAGATTTCCAATATCTCGTGTGGTTTACTGGCCTAGTTCTCATAGGTCACAAATTGACTCCACTCCTGAACTATAAATTATTTAATATATAACTAGACTCAAAATGCAGAAATTAAAAAGATAAACTTGGAACTTGACCCGCTTTGTTTTAACTAAGAAGCTTTTTATTGGGTATAGATATTCTCAAAGCAAACGTTTTTATGTCCCTCAAACTACACAAGTTCACATTTTTCTCTCATGAGTTCACTAGGACAAGGAAGCCACAAATATACTATAACACATTGGTTTAACTAAACCTTAGATTTTGCCTCAAATTATCCCACAGAACATTAGTACTTGATGTATCTTATAACTCTAAGTAGACTATAACCATGAAGCTTGTTAATGGTCACTGAAGTACCAATATTAGTTGTTTACTGAAGCAAACTGAAGAGCCACAAAATTTAGTATTTTGAAAAATCATTAAAGTGTGGAGCAACTAACCTTCTTCATTTTCATAGTTGTGATAACAACTTGCTTTTTTCTAACAAAAATAAAGATAAAGTCTTTTTGGTATTTTCTTTTGTTTAAAGTAAAGACAAAATACAAAAAATTAAGTCTTGTAGGGGTTTTTTGTTTTTATTTTATTTGTGGAAAAGCAAAGAAAAAATAAAATAAGTTAGAAAATAAAATATTTTTGGAGTTTTCTTTTAAAAAATGGAAAAAAAATTCAAACGCCTAGAGAATCTGGATTAAGCATGCGAAGTCGTCCTAGAAAGTGTAAGAACTTGGATTTATCTAGAGCTTTTGTGAAGACATCTGCAGTCCCTTCTTCTGTAAGAACAAAATGAAGCTCAATATGATCTTTTTGAATATTATCTTTAAGGAAATGATATCAGATATCAATGTGCTTGGTCATTGAGTGGTTGAATCGATTGTGAGAGATTGCAATTGCACTCTTTGAGTCACAATAGATTGGGATTTGTTGCATTTTGAATCCATAATCTCTCAATTGTGTTTGCATCCAAAGCACTTGAGAACAACAGTTGGTTGCAGCAACATACTCAGCTTCAGCAGTAGAGGTGGAAACACATGTTTGCTTCTTTGAGGTCCAACTGACTAACATGGCTCCTAAGAATTGACAGCTACCAGAAGTGCTCTTCCTGTCGAGCTTGCATCCTCTATAATCTGAGTCAGTAAAGGCTTGGAGATAGAAGTTTCCTTTAGCAGGATAGAATAAACCCAGAGAGGCAGTTCCTTTCAGATATTTGAAAATTCTTTTGACTGCTGTGAGGTGTGATTCCTTGGGATTGGCTTCAAATCATGCACACAGACATGTTGAAAACATGATGTCTGGTCGACTAACTGTAAGATACAGTAATGAGCCAATCATTCCTCTATAGTGCTTCTGATCTGCAGATTTTCCATTAAGGTCTGAATCAAGCTTGTAGGAAGTAGACATCGGTGTCTTTGCGGTTAATGTGTTCTCCATGGAGTATCTCTTCAACAGATTTTTGATGTACTTCTCTTGACCGATGAAGATTCCCTTAGGAGATTGACGAACTTATAGACCTAGGAAGTAGTTGAGCTCACCAATCATACTCATTCTAAATTTGTTTTTCATCAACTCAACAAACTCATCACTAAGGTCCTTGATGGTTAAACCGAATATGATGTCATTGATTTAGATCTGCACGAAGATCAGATGGTTGTTGTGGATTTTCCTAAAGAGGGTGGAATCAATAGATACTCTATGAAACTTGGAATCTTCTAAGAACTTAGATAATGTTCCATACCATGCTCTTAGGGCTTGCTTCAATCCATAGACAACCTTTTGAAGCTTACAACAATGGTTGGGAAACTTTGTATCTTCAAATCAAGGGGGTTGTTGAACATAGACATCTCTATAGATTTCTCCGTTCAAGAATGCACACTGAACGTCCATTTGGTGGACCTTAAAATTCTTGTGTGCAACAAATGCCAAGAAAATCCTAATGGCTTCTATCCTTGCAACAGGTGCAAAGGTTTCATCACATTCTATGCCTTCTTGTTGTGAGTAGACTTTGACAACCAGTATGGCTTTGTTCCTGATGATGACTCCATCTTTAGCACTTTTGTTTCTGTAGACCCATCGTGAACCAACAAATGATACTCCTACTGGTGTTGGCACTAAGTCCCACACGTTGTTGCATTCAAATTCAGCTAAATCTTCTTGCATTGCTTTTACCCAATATTTATCTTGTAGAGACTCTTTGATTCCTTTAGGCTCTATCATGGATAAAAAGCTTGCATATAGACATTCATTCATGGTTACTGAATGAGTCACTACTCCTGAATCTAGATCACCTATGATTTGATCGACTGGATGATCCTTTGTCCATTTTGTGAGGCGAGCTTACTTATGGATTTGAGGAGTACAAACTACCTCATATTGTTCTCTTGGACGAGGAGGGTAGTCAGAAGTGAATGTACCTTCAAAAAGATTGTCTTGGAAAAGTCCAGAACTACCTGAAACAGGTGGTTCCCCCTCAACTATTGCATGCTTGAATTCAACAGATGGAGTAGACATGAAGGAACTTGAAGGACTGGAACCAGTCGAGTGGGGTTCTCCCTGAAACCATGGACTGGATGGTTGGGATGATAGTAAAGTACCTTTAAGAATGGAACCATTCAAAGGTTGTTCCCCCTCGAAAGATGCAGTGGCTGGTCTAGTTTGTTGGGAGGTTGGAGAAGAAGGTTCAGAAGATTCTAAATGACTTTTAGGAATAGAGTCATTCGAAGATGGTTCCCCCTCAACCGAAGCTTTGGTGGAACTTGAGACTTTTGATGGTTGATGAGGTTGAGAGATATCAGGAAAAGATATTTTTGTGAGCTTTTCAGATTCGAGGGCGGAAGGTTGAGTTGGAAAGAGGAAATCAAAATCTACTTCAATAGCATGGACTGGATCAGAAGCATTTGCAGGTGATGACTGGTTCATTTTATCAAATGGCACTACCTTTTGAGGACCAAAGTGTTTTGGATCCAGAACCCTTACATAACTTTCATCAAAAGTGACATCATTGATTTCCTTTGTCACCCTGGTTCTTTAGTTCTGAACTCTATAGGTTGCAGCATGAAGGCAATATCCAAGAAAGATACCTTCATCATCCTTGGGTGCAAATTTCCCTAGTTGATCCCTATTTTTCTTGATGTAGCAACGAAAGCCAAAGATGTGAAAGAATTTGACGTTGAGCTTCCTCTTGTTCATTGCTTCATAGGGAGTGACTTCGAGCCTGTTGTTGATTAGGGATCTGTTTTGAGTGAAACACGCAACTGCTATGGCTTCAGCCTAGAAGTATTGTGGTAGGTTTGCAAAGATCAACATAGATCGAGCAGCTTCACATAGTGTCCTATTCTTCCTTTCAACTACACCATTTTGTTGTAGAATGTAGGGTGCAGAAAAATTGTGCTCGATTCCTTTAGATACATGAAAGATATCTAAGGTGTTGTTCTTGAATTCGCCATCATTGTCACTTCTCAGTCTTTTAAGTGGCTTGCATACCCTAATTTCTATGTAGCGAATCAAGTTAATTAGCTCATTGGTGGTTTCATATTTGTTTCGTAGAAAGTACACCCAAGTGAATTTGGTGTGGTCGTCCACAATCACAAGAATGTATCTCTTACCACTTAAGCTAGGAACTGTAGTAGGCCCACACAGATCAATATATATAAGCTGAAGAGGTTCCGATACACTGTGTTTTGTTATACTTTTGTGTCAGGTTTTGGAAATTTAGCCTTGTTCACAGGAAGCAGAAACTATATCATTGTCAAGTTTTTAACAATGTTAGTCCTCTCACAAGATCCTTTCCAATGAGTTTGTTGATATAACCAAAGTTGAGGTGGGAGAGTCTTCTATGCCACAACAAACTGATGTCAGAGGCAGCTTTAGAAAGAAGACAAATATTTGGGTTCCCTCAATTAGTTCAATATCAAGAGGATAGATGTTCCCATTTCGTGGGGAATCAACAAGAATGTGATTGTTGGTATCCATAATCAAACTCTTGGTTTTGGTGAACAAAACCTCATGATCATTGTCACACAGTTGTGCAACACTGATAAGGTTATGTTTAAGACTGTCTAAATACGCTACACTCTTAACGGTAAAGTTCCCGTTTGATATGTTTTTTGTGTCCCATAACTTCTCCCTTCATGTTGTTTCAAAAAGTAACATATTGACCTGGCGTTGTGATCTTGAAATCTTTTAGATATTCTTTGTGCCCAGTCATGTGCTTGGAGCAACCACTGTCAATGTACCATGTATCATTGTGAGGTACCCTAGCACAAAAAGCCAGCAATTAGAGAGAAGGTTTAGGTACCCATGTAGATTTGGTTCCTTGAGTGTTAGCTTCCTTCGGACTTCTGGGAGTTGGGACAGTCTTTTCTTGTTTTTCATTAACCTCTTTGGGTTTTGCTTCGTTTTTTGTCACCTTGGTTTTTTATTTCCTAGGTGTCTTCTTTTGAGGTTTGGTTTGTGGGAAGAATGGAGAGTTGGTGAACTCAGTAGGAATTCCTAGATAGGGAAATCCATAGTTCACAGGCATTCCAAATTGATCAAACATGGGAAACTGGGTATTTCCCCCGAATTGATTGATCATTGGAAACCCAGAGTTTCCCCCAAACATGTGATTCCCTCCTATGGACGAACAAAAACCACAATATGGACCAAGAATAGAATTCATAGGGTGATTTCTATTCTGATACATGAAGGGGTTGGATTCAACAGGTCTTGGTCTCATCATTTCAGAAAAATATGGAAGATTGTTAAGTCTAAAATTATTTTGATAGTGAATTCCAGTTTGGTTTGGAAATCCAGAATTTGAGAAACCATCATTGGAAGGAGAGGTTTTTTGAGTCCTTGAAGTTTTGGGAAGACTGGTATGTCTGGTCTTCCCTAGGCTTGGCTTAGCCTTAGGTACTCTCTTGGACTTCCTATCCTTGTCATTATTTGTAGTCTTAACCACTTTGGGTTTTGAAGGATTGACTACAGTTGGACTTTGTTCTTTAGAGACATTAATTTTCTCTTTTCCCTTATCTTTAGAGACATTAGCTGGCTTTACAATTGTATCATGTTGTTTAGGACTGGGTGAAGAGAATTTGATTGGAACAAAAGGTCTCATGAGTATTTCAACAACATTTTTCTCATTACTCACAGTCTTCAAGGTTTCATCCTTGTTGACTGGAATTGGAGACTTCCCAGTCTGTTGTTTCTTAGAATATTTACATCCTAAGTCCTTTGTCCCAAAGATAGAAGCGTTAAGAGATGGAAATGTTTCTTGACTGAGGAATTCAATTGGTTCATTCTTGGAATATCCTATTAGCTCATTTGATTTGGGCTTTTTATCACTAGATTTAGAGTCAGGGATATTTCTTTTTTCAAAAGTTGCATCTTCTGAATTGAAACTTTCCATGGTGGGAAATTCAAGAGAAAATGCTACTGGAGAGTCAGAACTAGTGTCTGAGTCTGGAAGATCATAGGATGATGTAACTTTCAATGGGAGGCTTGAGGATGAAGTGGAAATTACATCAGGACTGCAAGTTACCACCTCTTCATGATCCTCCTTGTCTCCAGTGAAGAGTTGGATCACATGCTAAGAATTCCGGTTGAGTATTAAGACCCATGATTTCTTTGTTCATTTCATCATAACCAATACCATATTTGATCCATGATGGTTTTGGTCCCTTAAGAATAGAATGTGATTTCTGTTTGAGAAGGGTTTTGGATGCCTTATAACTATTGATTTTTGTATTGATTTGGTTGTACATCTCATGGTTATCTTTTGCAATAATGTCACGTTGATTCAATACAATTTCATATTGTTCAACTGACGTAAGATGTGCCTCAGTTTTTGATTGCAAGGTCATTTTCTAACTTAGCCATACAACATCTTAGTTCTTCAAGTCTGAACTGAGTGTCGGTCAGTTCATCTTTGTAGTAACTGACATGATATTCAACATTGGTAGCATATTCTTTGATCATTTCATAAATATGGTCAATGTCATCGTTAAAAGGCTCAATAGTTAAATGATTATCACGAAGCATAAAGTGTACCTTTTCAACAACTTGTTGATGGATAGGAGAAGGCTCTTTGTCATCATCAGCCATGATGCAAAAGTAGTTCCTGTAGGCTTCAGTTTCTTCTGCTTGATCTATTTCATCATCTGTTTCCCAAACTTCCACACTTGGAGTTTCCATGACCATGAAGGCTTTGTGTTTTGACTGCTTCTTAATCTGCTCCGCTTTTTGAAGGTAGTATGCTTTGTCTTTGACCTTCTTGGTTTTCATTTTGCAATCCTCGGCAAAATGATTTTCACCTTGACAGTTGTGGCACCTGATTACTTCATTATCTTCAAGGGACTTCAACTTGTTATCTTGAACCCTTGTGTTCATCCTTTGAGAATTGTAACTTTTAGGTGTTGACATGTCATCATGACTTAGTCATCAGTTGACACCTTTGCCCTACTTCACAGAGAATGGATGGAATATTTCAATTCCGTTAGTATTCTATTAGGGTTCCATCCAAGTTATAAGTCTTCATTATTCTTGAACCTTCTTGATCAACATTGAAAAAGTGATAAGCAACATGAGCATCATGTTGCTCAGTTGTCTTCTTAGATGTCATCAACTTCCAAAAGTGTTGTTGATCATGTTGAGTAGTTTCTTGGATGTTGGACTGTGTCTTGAACTTGAAGATGTACCGCCACATGTTCATGATGGGTTATGGACAAAATTCATGTCCCCTTGAGCATTTTCACATGCCTTCATTGTACATGATGTGTCATGTGCAACCTTGTTGAGTCATTAATGTGATCATGTTGATCCATTGACTTGAGTTGAGTCACCAGGTGTTCCCGTTGAGCCATCAACTCTTGTTGAGCCATAGAGTTATGGATGAGTTAATGTCTTGATGCTCCACATATGATCTAGATGTGCCATCTAAGATCATGATGATCCAACAAGCTTTCAGCAAGTGATCCATGTCAACAGCAGGTGCTCCATGTAAGCTTCAAGTGCTCCATGTTTAACTTCAAGTGCTCCAACATCTGATTCTTCAAACACTTGTTGAATCTTCAATCTCTTTCCAACCTGAAACATTCTGATAATGTTTGTAAGAAAATTTAAATTTATACTCAACTTATTTCAAGTGACAATCACATCAAAATATTTCCAAAACGAGGTGGCTTCGGCGATTTGGGAGGCCATCCCGGAGATGTTTGGGTCTATCAAGACCACGTTGATTGAGACATTTGACAAGATATATGCTTCAGTTACTGAGGTGGCTACTGCTGCATCTACTGCCGTCGTTGTTTTTGCAAGGCCACAGGGGGTGACTTATTGTTGTACTGAGAGTTTAGCAACACGAAGCCACCATAGTTTGACGGGACTCAGGATCCGATAATTGCGATGAGGTTGATCTTTGACATTGAGGTATGATTCTACACCTGCCCTTGTCTGGAGCATCTAAGGTTACAGTTCTCTCTGAACCAGCTTCACTTAGGAGCGAAGGACTGGTTGAAGTTTGTGATGGATGATTTCACTCCTGCAGAGATTACAACGGTGACCTAGGAGAGGTTTACCACCATGTTCCAAGATGATCATGTTCCCCCAATGGAGGGGGAACGGTTGGCGTAGGAGTTCTTGTCCCTCAAGCAAGGGATGGAGTCCGTGACTGTGATTACAAAGATGTTTCTTGAGAGGGCGTTATTTTTCCCTGAGCATATGTCTACTGAGCAGGCACATATAAGCCGATATCTAAGCATACTGAGGAAATCCATTCATGAGTTCGTGGTGAACTCGACTTACTAGACATTTTCTGAGCTCCAGGCAAATGCCCAGAAGAGGGAGATTGAGTTGGAGACTCAGTCCAGGGATGGGACCGAGTCTCAGAGGAGGGACAGGCGACCGGTGCAGTCACTGCCGGTAGACAAGCAAACAAAGCCCATTGATTCGAGATCTGAAGGACAGAAGGGCCGCATTTGTAGGAAGTGCAGCAAGAGCCATGAGGGAGTATGCAGAGCAAGGGTGTGATACAAGTGTGGCAAGGAGGAACATTTTGCGAGGGATTGCCCCCAATGGATTTTCAATTTGCTTTCACTGCAACCAAACTGGCGATTGGAGGGCTGAGTGCCCACAACTACTTCAGGTATCAACACAGGGATCTGCACCTCCTGCTAGAGCTACCGAGGTTCGGCCAGAGAAGACCGAGGCACCAAAGGCTAGTGGGAGAGCCTTCCAGTTAACAGCGGAGGAGGTCCGCGCAGTGCCCAATGTCATGGCTGGTATGTATCTTTTTTTATTAGAACAGATTTTGAGATATTATGCTTATATTGTACTATGCTTAGGTACTTTTCTTGTGAGTTTTGTACCTACTTTGGTGCTATTTGACTCGGGTGCGAGTCGATCTTTCGTGTCTTTAGTGTTTGGTCAGCACATTTATATCCGACGAGAGGCATTGAGTCGACCTCTGCGAGTTTCTATAGCTGACGAGAGAGCAGTTTTTGCTACTGATGTGATCGAGGATGTGTACTTGAAATTTTTGGTGTTGAGTTCCTGATTGATCTAGTACCAATTGTGATGGGGATGTCTGTGTCATCATGGGCATGGACTGGTTGAGCCGATTTGGAGCTGTTATCGACTGCGAGCGTCGATCGGTTACCATAAGAGACCCTAGTGGCGGAGTACGTACGGTGTATGGTGAGGGTACCCGATCTAGGTCAGCATTTTGCTCGGCTTCCAGAGCAATACGGAGTCTACAGTAAGGTTGTAGGGGGTTCGTAGCATATGTGATGTATACACGAGTTGCCACAGAGAGGCCGAGTGTTGTCGATGATGTTCCGATAGTGCTTGAGTTCCCGGATGTTTTTCCCAAGGAGTTACTGGGAGTGCCTCCGGAGAGGTGGGTGGAGTTCTGATTATGGAGAGGCTAGTGGGATCATAATTATTATGGAAAAAATGTTGCAACTTAGCAATGTTAGTTATAGAAAAAAAAAGTTTCAATTCGCAAAGTTACGGATTTGAAAGTTGTTTTGCTACAATTAAGGGAGAGGAAATTATACTTCATTTAAATTCTAAAAGCTTAGATTGAGATTCTAATCAACTTAGTCAAAAATATATATGGATGTTCTGTTGGAATTGTTCAACATAAGGAGTTTATATATATATATATATATATATATATATATATATATATATATATATATATATATATATATATATATATATATGGAAATGTTAACTGCGTTCTAAAATATTTGATTATGATTACGTCATCCCTCTTCATAATCAAAATTATGTGAACATGGCAAAAAGAAATATTATAGCAAAAGACTAGTTAGGTATCATGTCTTTATGTTAAAAATCATGAATCGTGTCCCTTATGCTTCGGGTATTGCATCGATTTCATATGCTATAATATTCTCATGTTCTAATTTTCCAAATGCCTTGGGCATTACAAAGGAAAAAAGTAATAGAATCAGACATGACTAAAGTCGTTAAACAACTGTTAAAGACAATCTATGGTTCGCGAAAGATTGTTTGTTTAGGGATAGGTGGAAGTATAGTAATGGATGGACCATATTGACATTATTATGAATAGACAGGATTATTTTAATAAAGTGTTGTCATGTGGCAAATATGGAATTTTTTCATATTCAGAGTTGAAGAATAGATGTTCAAAGGAATGTACTTTGAATTTGAAACTTCATTTCAATGGAATTATCTTGTAACAATCTCCAAAGGAATATTTTGTAATATCATTGGTCAAGTCTCTGTGATTTTTGGTACCTAGACATTACAAAAGAATCATTGCATGATAGTTTAGAATCTAACACTTTCTAGAAGAGACAAGAATTTATAATTCTTACACTTGTAATAAGGATTTTGAATTGTGAAATAAGCATCATTGAAATGTTTTTCAATTGATCTATTTTACAAAGTAAGGACCATAGACAAACATAGTGTGCGTGCTTGGAGCATAGCATAACTATTGTTTAGACAAACATAGTGTGCATGCTTGGAGCATGGCATATCTATTGTTTTTCATTCAAGTATTAAGTTGATTATTTGAAACATTATACAATACGTAATGAGTAATCAATATGACTCAAAAAATTTGGGTCC